CAATTGTGCTTTTTGAATATTGTTTTCTTGATGATGTCAGTCCATGTATAAAATATCATGTATTTCCTGAATATGTTCAGAAGATGAAGAAGATGAAGAAGAAAAAGAAAGTTGTCAATTGTTGATGAGTTATTGGGTCCAATGGCTTTTCCGGTTAATTGAAGTATATTCCCTAAATATACTGAGAAGAAAGTAGTCAATTTTGGATGGACTATTTGGTCCAACTGTTTTCTTGTTAATTGAAATAAAACATAGATCTTCCTCCTCATTTGACTTCATTTTTGACATGGAATCTAATATGTACAACAATCAATCAATTAATCAGTCAATTAAATCAGTAACAAGCAAGTGCTATGTTTTTAAAAAATCTTACCATTCGATGTTTGTCTAAGCAGTCTTAGTGATATTAATCTTGGGGCTCTTTAGCTTGGAGAAACGATGGGTGACATGATCGAAGTTTATAAGATTATGCATGGGAAAGAGCAGGTAGAGAAAGAGGTACTTTTCTCCCTTTCTCACAATACAAGAACTCATGGGCACTCCATGAAATTGCTGAGCAGTCGGGTTAGAACGGATAAAAGGAAGTACTTCTTCACCCCAAGAGTGATTAACACATGGAATTCACTGCCACAGGATGTGGTGGTGGCTACAAGCATGGATGGCTTTAAAAGGGAAATAAGCATATGGAGCAGAAGTCCATAGGGGGCTATTAGCCACCAGGTATAGATAGAAACTCTCAGTCTGGGGCAAGTGCCTGGGAACTGGGATATTAGACTCCAAGAGGCAGGGTTGGAGCCTAGGAGCTATAGAGACACTTCTGGCAAAGCTGCTACGGATTCTGTCTTGAATACATTCAACAGTCCAGTTTACCTCAATACCAGGGTTGCCAGGTGCCCCCTGGCTACCAGCAGGGGATGTGGGGGTAGGGTTGCCAGTTCCAGGCTGAGAAAGTCCTGGAGATTTGGGGCTGGAGCCTGGGGAGAACAAGGACCTCAGTGGGGGTACAATGCCACAGAGAGCCCACCCTCCTAAGCATCCATTTGCTCCAGGGGAACTGATCTCTGTAGTCTGGAGATGAGCTGGAATTGCAGGGATCCGCAGGTCCCACCTGGAGGCTGGCATCCCTACTCAATGCAATGAAAAAGCCTTAGCTGCCCATTTCCTCCAGGCCTCTTGGCAACGGTTCCATCCGGGGATCTGATAGCCTTCAGCACTAACATAAATCTCACAGAGTATCTTCTCTCAGGCTGAATGTGATCTCAGAATGCCTCGCACAGCTTGTTCCTGGACACCTACAGACTGGGAGTCCTTGCAAAGCTATGACGTGAACACACACATGAAACCACCGTACAATGAATCAGATTTCCATCATAGTCAATATTGTCCTCCACTCAGGCTGGTAGCGGTCCTCCAGGATTTCAGGCAGAGGTCTTTCACATCACCTACCACTACCTGATCTTTTTAAACTGGAGGCACTGAGGACAGAACCTGGGACTTAAGAACATAAGAACATAAGAGAAGCCAATGTTGGATCAGGCCAAAGGCCCATTCAGTCCAACACTCTGTATCACACAGTGGCCAGAAATATCAGTGTCATCAGGAGGTCCACCAGTGGGGCCAGGACATTAGAAGCCCTCCCACTGTTGACCCCCCCCAAGCACCAAGATGACAGAACATCACTTGCCACAGAGTCCCTATCTATACCTTGTGGCTAATAGCCACTGATGGACCTCTGCTCCATATGCTTATCTAATTCCCTTTTGAAGCCGTCCATGCTTGTAGCCGCCACCACTTCCTGTGGCAGTGAATTCCAAGTGTTAATCACTCTTTGGGTGAAGAAGTACTTCCTTTTATCTGTTCTAACCCGACCGCTCAGCAATTTCATGGAGTGCCCACGAGTTCTTGTATTGTGAGAAAGGGAGAAAAGTACCTCTTTCTCTACCTGCTCTATCCCAGGCATAATCTTGTAAACCTCAGTCATGTCACCCCTCAGTCGTCGTTTCTCCAAGCTAAAGAGCCCTAAGCGCCTTAACCTTTCCTCATAGGGAAAGTGTTCCAAGCCTTTTATCATTCGAGTTGCCCTTTTCTGCACTTTTTCCAAAGCTATAATATCCTTTTAAAGGTGTGGTGACCAGAATTGCACTTTCTGCATGCAAAGCAGAGGCGCTTCCACAGAGCTACGAACCCTCCCCTGACACATTCAATGAAAGGATGTGGTGGGAAACCGGCACCTTGTTTGCACGGGCTGTTTTGTTTCCTCCCCTCTTCCTGGCCTGCTGGCAACTTTCGTCTGGCTGTCCTCTGAAGGGGTTAAAGACACAGAGATGTCGTGCCTAGAGAAGCCCAGAAATTTGTGACCCAAGTAAAGCCACCTTCCTGATCCTCCTCCATCTCCTCCTCCTCCTCCTCCTCCTCTTGTTTCCACCTGACGATTCTGCCTTTTTGGATGGAGCAATAGCCAGCGGCAGGTCCCTTCCCCGAGGCTGCAATGCAAAAACTGCAGGGTGGAGGTGAGTGAAAGCCCCAAGAGCACTTGGATTGGGGAGAAGGAAATGTTATTGGGAGGGAAAAGAAAACAGAAGGCGCCAGAGACCCGTGGTCGTAATGGACGGCTGCCAACTCTTTATCAGCCTTCCGTAGCTGTGCTTTCTAACGGCATTTCGGTCTGCAGGCGGTGGAGCTGCCGACCGCTGTCAGAAAAGCTGCCGTTGAGAACGCGGGAGCAGCCCGGGTTGTGTTTTCTGGGTCAGTTGGCAATCCTGGCAGCTCAGGAGTGTAGCTGGTGCGGGGGTGAGGTAGTTAAAGTTACCAGCTGACCAGAGAAATTGGCTCCCTCGTCTCGCACGGTAATGCTTAGAAATGGGCAAATTTGTGACATGCTGATAAAGGTGATCCTGTTGCTGTTCAATGCCCCGGAGCAGGGGACCGTGGAAAAGTTGGCAATGCTAAGCCCAGTGGAATCTCTAATGGAAATGTTACATGCCTATAATGCTTATTTGTCTGGCCTAAGAGCTCTGGTTCAGGGTTGTAAAGGATTTGTGTGTATGTGTATATGTATGTATATGTACACGTGTGTGTGCGCATATATGAAGCTGTCTTATTCTGAATCAGACTTTTGGTCCATTAAAGTCAGTTTTGTCTACTCAGACTGGCAGCAGCTCTCCAGGGTCTCGGGCAGAGGTCTTTCACTTCACCTATGCCTGATCCTTTTAACTGGAGATGCCAGGGATTGAACCTGCGACCTTCTGCATGCCAGGCAGAGGCTCTTCCACTGAGCCACAGTTCTGCCCAGATCTTCCCGGTCCCGGCCTAATACTCAGCATGGAGAAAAGCATGATAGATTTGCGCTAGCAGATCAAACTGGCAACCACACTGCTCTGGATGAGGTTTGTGCACAAGACCAATGGGAGATTTGGCTCAAGTTGCCAGCTTTTGACCTGGTTCTTGTAGCCGTGACTGGAGTAGTGATTGGCTCTGTAGCAGGGAGCAATGGATCCCGCCCAGGCCTTGCAAAACCATTAGCTGACTCTTGTAGAACATGGTTGAAAACAGGGCCTGACAACCTTATTCTTGGCTCACATTGCCTTAGTGATTGCATGATGCTGTAGTAATTCATACAGCCCTGCCAAAAGCTCTGATTCCTTTGGAGGAGGGGTAAGGGGGGGACACACCAGTGTCATGGGATGGTAACTACAGTCCTCTGCAGATGTTATGAGGGAATTCCATTTGCGCATCACAGGAGCCTACCAGTTACAGGTGTCAGGAGCGTGTGGGTCCCTATGATGTGCCTGATATTCATGACACTGTAAATGTGTGAATTGGGCAATGCATGGATTTTCAGTGAGGGTACAGCTTCTGCTCGTGTGAGCCAGAACCTAAATGGAAAATCCACGTGTTGCCCAATTCACCTTACAGGATCTTGCTCTGGAGTCGTACAGGAAGTGCCACATGTGAACAGAATGCCTGCAAAGGGCTGTTGCTATGGTTATGTGTAGGATTGCCAACTGACGTGGGAGGAAAGGCCTGACCCGCTTCTGTGCTTTTAAAAAGAGGTCCAACTTGTAGAAATCATCAGGTAAAGTTTTTCTTGGCACGCAGCTCCACCTGACCTGCTTCCTAATCGCGGCAGGCCAACGACTGTTAAGGGCACGAGGCATGGGTTCAAAACTCACCAACCTTATGAACAGCCAGCTACATTTAAGAATAGAAGGGGGGATGAGAGGATTGTGCACGTAGCTGCCACTTTAAAAAACTAGGTAGGTGAGCTTCAAAAATACATATTAGCACGGTAGACACCAGATCAGCTACCAGATGGGCTATTTACCTTTAAACAGGCTCTCCCCAACTTTTTCGAAAAGCAGCAGATGTTATGGCTGTTTGTTTATAATTTTTTCCTTTGCTGTATTTTTAAATCTTACAAACACTGTAAAATCTATCTAATAAATCAGAGACAGGGAGTAGTGGTGACGGCATAGGCACTAGCCCTTCTGCCACAGCAGGCTTTCCACAATTCAAATGCAGCCGCTCTGGAAACCTGGAGGAATGATTTCCTCAGGGTGCAATCTCTCAACATCACCTACCTCATAGGGTAGTTGTGAGGATAAAATGGAGGAGGGGAATACCATGTACACTGCCCTAAACACCTTGGAGAAAGGGTGGGTTTAACATTGTTGTTGTTGTTGTTTCATTTATACTCTGCCTTTGAGGGGGATTACAAATATGATAAGAATGGCTGTCTGAAGAGAGCCAATGCACTATAGGGGGAGTATGGACGGAGACCTCCCACCCTGGTCGTCTGTCACCATGCACCAGAGTGGCACTGAAACATAGGGGCACAATTTGGCACCACACTGATATGTGATGTCACAGCTGGTGCAATACCAGAAGTGACATCATTGAGAACATAAGAGAAGCCATGCTGGATCAGGCCAATGGCCCATCCAGTCCAACACTCTGTATCATGCAGTGGCCAAAACTACTGTCCACCAGCGGGGCCAGAACTCGAGAAGCCCTCCCACTGTGGCCCTCCAAGCACCAAGAAGACAGAACATCACTGTCCCAGATAGATTATTCCATCAATACCTGGTGGCTAATAGCCACTCATGGACCTCTGCTCCTTATCTTTATCCAGTCCCCTCTTGAAGATGTCAATGCTTGTAGCCGCCACCACTTCCTGCAGCAGTGAATTCCACATGTTAATGGCTCTTTAAGTGAACAAGTACTTCCTTTTATCTGTTCTAAGCTCATTAATTTCATGGAGTGCCCACGAGCTCTTGTATTGTGAGAAAGAGAGAAAAGGACTTCTTTCTTTGTCTTCTCTATCCCATGCATTATTTTGTAAATCTCTGTTGGGTCACCCTGAGTCTTCGTTCCTCCAAGCTAAAGAGCCCTAACTTCTTAAACATTTCTTCATAGGAAAAGTGTTCCATCCCCTTAATCATTTTACTTGCCCTTTTCTAAACCTTTTCCAATGCTATAATATACTTTTGGGGGTGCAGTGATCAGAACTGTACGCAGTATTCCAAATGAGGCCGCACCATCGATTTATACAGGGACATTAAGATACTGGCTGATTTGTTTTCAGTTCCCTTCCTAATAATCCCCAGCGTAGCATTTGCCTTTTTTATTGCAGTCGCACACTGAGTCAACATTTTCAGTGAGTTATCTACCATGACCCCATGGACACTCTAGGATTCACCCAAAACTCTGTAACTGTCACATGTTGCTGCAGTGCCAGATTACTTTTCCCTGCCCCTTGCAATCTCCTGTTGGGTGCCAGTGCTGAGCTGGCAACCGTAGGTTAGAGTATCCGACTAGGATCTGGAAGGTCCAGGCTCAAATCCCCACCCTGTCATGGAGGTCTCGCTGGGTGACCTTGGTTCAGTCACTCTCTCCCATCCGAACCTGCTTCACAGGGTTGAGGATAAAATGGAAGAGAGGAGAACAGTGTAAACTGTTTGGGGTGTCCATTGGGGAGAAATGGTAGATGGCAATCATCTGCACGCCTAAAAATAGTATTTTGACATATATTAAATGCATTGCTTAGTTATTAAAACAAGGTTGTACCTTAGCTGTCATTAACAGATTTAATAAATGGCATCCAACTTTAGCAAGTTGTTTTATTTCTCCCCCCCCCCCTTAATATAATTATTTGTTTCCGTAAGGGCATATTCCTACAGATAAAATGTGGGGATGTGCCTTTGTGGCATCATAATTATGCTAAGGTGAAAGATCAGATGGAAATTGTATGGATTTGCTAAAAATTAGAATTTTAATAGTCACCATGGGCTCCAGTATGTAACACAGTGATTCTCCAGTGTGGTGTCCACAGGTATCATGGCCCCTTGTAAAGAGCCAGTCCTGGTTTTCTTCCATCTCACTGGACCAGGAGGTACTTTAGAAGAGCCCAGGGGGCATCACCCGTTCAGGAACGCTGCTTGGCTTGCAACCACCTAATATTTTATGTAACGTTTCTAACTCTTGTGATTGCACCAACCCTCCATGGCAGCCATTTTGTGATTGGTTCCCCATGGCAGCCAATTTGGTGTGGCACCCACCCTTTACTTGTTCTCAAAATTCAAAACGTTCCTACAGATTTGACAAGGTTGGGGACTCCTGATCTGGCATGGTTTGGTTTTGCCACAATAACCATGTAAAATACTCATTCTCTATCTCAGGTAATCTGCCATCAGTATATTAACAGATATTCTAGTGAATCCAAGTGTAGAATCCATCCAAGGATTGTTTTCATTATAATTCCTCCGCCATTTGGTTTTTTGTTTTGCTAGTAAACAATTCCATCAGATTTGTTTAAATTTCATCTATAATCCTTATGTGTTGTGATGAAGTGGTGTAATTGCTCTGGGGTTCACCCCAAACTCTATGGTTTTCTAGTTTCTTACAATGTCCTGGGCACAGCTTAGGGTGGCAGCTTTCATTTCGTATTCCCGTTCCATGTCCAGAGTGGACATTGCTTGTATCTTTTAAAAGTGATGGCCAGGTACAACCTCCCCAAGTCAGAGTGGAAGGATATCATGGAAATTTATCATCATGAAAGAAACTGTGTGGTGTGGTAGTTAGAATGGTGGGCTATAATGGGGGAAACTTGGATTCAGATCTCCACTTAGCCATGAAGCTCAGTAAGTAACTTTGGCCCAGTCTTTCTTGGTAGGCTTGCCTGGCAACCATTGAGAGCGAGGAGGTGGGAACTTATGGTGGGGGGCCTGCAATGGGTTACTTCAGGGGGATGACACCACTTCTGGTGGTATCATTGCTCTGTGTGTGTGTGTGTGACACTCTTAGCATTTGCCCCAAACTCTGTAGTATGACCATAGAGTTTTGGGCAAATACTACAGCATCACCTGACATGATGGCATCACTTCTGGATCATGGCGGAAGTGGCGTCATCCCATAAGGGATGGCAATCACCCGGCACCCATTATCCCATCCTTTCTTCAAGAGGTTCAGGGCCCCCTGCACATGTGACTTTCCCGTCTTCCATTTTCCACTTCTTCCAACTGTTCTCCAAATTCATGAAGGATAAGGTCTCTCTGTAGCTATCAGCTGTGATGGCTAAATAGAACCTCCATGTCCAGAAGCACTATACCTCCCAAAACCAATCGCTGAGGATAAACAATGGGGCAATGCCATACCTTCCATTCCTTGCTTAGGAGCTTCCCAAAGGTATCTAATTGGCCACCGTTTGGGACAAGAGAGAAACAACTTTTGCCCTGATCCAGTTTGGAGGTGGGTGGAAGTACCTTTTATCTCACGCATGAATTTCATTTCCAGTTCAGGAGCTGAAGCCGAAGATAAAAATGGAGAAGCACAGTTCGGCAGGACCCAAAACCAGTGAAGGATTGGAGGTGGGAGGAAGGGAGCCTCACGTCGTCCAAGTTGGGACCATCCGTGAGTTTCTGGCGGGGTCAGCGCCAACACAAATCAAGCAGGAGCCTGAGGAGGGGCTGCAGCAGCGCTGGGAAACCCAGTGGCAGGAGTTCCTGAAGACGGTGGAGTCCCCTCACTCGGGATGGAGGCACCTCAAGCTACCTGAGCCCATGTCAGAAGAGGAGACCAAGCAATTTCAGGCCTCCCTCAAGGAAATAGCCGGCGCCAGTCAATGGTCCAGGGGCGAGTGGGTGACCCAGACCGTGCCAGGCCTCAGAGGGGCTCATAAGCCTAATGGAGGACTGGACCCTCCTGTAAAGGTGAAGGAAGAGATTGTGAGCGAGATCGCCCTTACTTCGGAGATGCGACGCCAGCGCTTCCGGCACTTCTGCTACGAGGAGGCCGAGGGCCCGCGGAAAGTTTGTAAGCAGCTCTGGGAGCTTGGCCATCAGTGGCTGAGGCCGGAAAGGCGCACCAAGGACCAGATCCTGGAGGTGCTGATCCTGGAACAGTTCCTGACCATCCTGCCTTGGGAAATGCAGTGCTGGGTGAGGGAAAATGGACCTGAGACCTGTGCCCAGGCGGTGGCCCTGGCTGAGGATTTCCTCATGAGGCTTCAGGAGCCTGAGCAATGGGAGAGAAAGGTGAGGAGGCTGATATCACCTGAAAGGCTGAGGGAATGCGGGTGGAGCGTGGCCTCCTCGTTCACACAGGCAGGAGAAACGAGGTGGTCGAATGTGCTGCACCAGTTCAGACTGCGGGTGGGAGACTTCTGCTTTGAATCTTCCTTAAGATTAAAACACAAAATGAAACAAAAAACCTCAACAACTTCTCCTTGCAAATACAAAATTAACATTAGCAGAAAGAGGGGCTCGTCCCCTTACTTTGTCATGCTCAGCTGGTTTTCTGTTTCCAGGGAGTTTTTGAAATAGGGGAGTTTTCCAGATTCATGATCCTCTGTCTGTTTGGTGTAGTGGTTAAGTGTGCAGACTCTAATCTGGGAGAACCGGGTTTGATTCCCCACTCCTCCACATGCAGCTGCTGGATGACCTTGGGCAAGCCATAGTTCTGTCAGAGCTGTTCTTGAAAGAGCAGTTTCTGTCAGAGCTCTCTCAGCCCCACATAACTCACAGGGTGTCTGTTGTGGGGAGGGGAAGGGAAAGAAGTTTGTAAGCTGCTCTGAGACTCCGAGTGAAGGGTGGGGTATAAATCCCTCCTCTTCCTCCTCCTTATCATTTTATGCTGCTTTATGCTCTGGAGTTTGAATGGCTTGTTAATTTTAATGACTTTATTTTTAATGATTTGATCTTGTTTTATTTTGCGAGGCCCCTTACTCAGGCGTCTGAAGAAGACGCACATTTATGTATTCAATATCTATAAATATGCTGTGTAAATGAGCAGTGCCGTCCATTTTGCCATCTTCTTCACCAGGTCTTTGTAGAGAGAAAAAGGCATCTGGTGTCACTTGAACACATGAAGCTGCCTTATACTGAATTAGATCCTTGGTCCATCAAGGTCTGTATTGTCTACTCGGACTGGCAGCAGCTCTCCAGGGTCTTAAGTGGAGGTCTTACACAAGACCTAATCTTTGATCCTTTCAACTTGAGATACTGGGGATTGAACCTCTGGGGCCTTCTGCATGGCAAGCAGACACTCTGAACTATAACCCTCCCCTAAGCTATGGTCTACCCAGGAACATCTTCTGATCAGCTCCTCTTTCTCTGAGACTCACATGTGACGGGACAGCAGCAAATTAGTTCGTGAAATCCCAGGTCTGTATAAATTAGGGGGTGTAGAGGTGTCCAGTGTTTTAGAAGAAGGGGCACTTGCCTATGAGGGAAGTTGAATCCTCCCAGTATTGTCTACTCTGACTGGCAGCCGTCCTCTAGTCCCTTAAGCAAAGGAGGGTCTTTTCCAGTAACCTTACTTCAGACTGTTCACCTGGAGATGCCGAAAACTGGACAATTCTGTGTGGAAAGCAGAAGATAACAGCCCCTCCCCCAACATGAGGGAATTCTCTGAGCAGACAAAGACAGGATAGGAATACCATCAATCAGGGTTATGTTTGGGCAGGAACGCACAGGAACGGAGTTTCGGCTGGCTCCCAAGTTGGCCACACCCAGCAGGAACTCATTAGCATAATAGGCCACACCCAACAGCAGGAACTCATTAGCCTATCGGGCCACACCCCTGACAGCACAGCTCATTAGCACATTAGGCCGCACCC